AAAAAAAAAAAAAAAGAAAGAAATATTAGTATAGGCTTGGCGCCTGTAGACACTAGTTACAGTGCCAGCCACATACACTGAAGGTGGGGGGTTCAAACCCAGCCCAGACCAGCTAAACAACAATGACAACTGCGACAAAAAAATAGCCAGACGTTGTGGTGGGCACCTGTAGTCCCAGCTATTTGAGAGGCTGAGGCAAGAGAATTGCTTCAGCCCATGAGTTTGAGGTTGCTGTGAGCTGTGACGTCACAGCACTCTACTATGGACAACATAGTGAGACTCTGTCTCAAAAAACAAAAAGAAAAATTAGTATATTTGTTTGGGGGTGCCCTGGTTGTAGATATATCACATGTTATATGGTGTGTGTATCTATATATAGAGAGAATACCCATAGATATAGATAGATGTGAGGATATATATGTACATATACACATATTTATATATATATCCACATATATAGATACATATGTATAGCTTCTAAATAAAATCTGAATTTCAAAACACCTCTGGCACCAGCAATTTCAGCTAAAGTGTTGTGTATGGTCATACCCATCTTACAAAAAGAAAACTGTCAACTTAGGAACAAAGCTGGGATTTGACCCAAGGCAGGCTGCTCCTACTTGTTAAGCCTTTTAAAAATTCCTTCTAGACCTTATCTCATTGAATCCTGACAACTACCCTATGAAGTAGATTCTGTCCTTAGCTCTGTTTTACAGATAAGAGCACCAAGGCTTAGGAGAATTTGTGTCTGTGACCAGATGAGATGCCAGTAAGGGGCTGAGATTCAAATCCAGGCCTATCTTTCTCAGTGTCCTGATTGGCAATCACCAGGCTGGACTGTACCTATTCTCACCTCAAGATCCCATTGGCCCCCCCCTCCTGCCTCAGCTCATATTGTATTCTGGATTAATGGTGCCCCTGGAGTTGTGCAACCCAGAGACCCGACTTGGCTTCATACCTAGGGCGGGAGCATCACTCCTTCAAGAGCCCAGCAAGTGACTCAAATATCCCTGCCCTGGTGTTGCATGGCAGCTGCCCCACCCAACCTCATTCCTGCCTGGCCACTACTGTCACTATGCCTGTCGCTTGCTTCCCTGTCAGACCTATCACTGTGGAAGATGCTTTGAGTCCCTAGTGAGACCCTCCCCTTGGCATGCCCACCTTCCCCCAGGCCTGCCTCCCTCTGCCCCCTGCCTTTCCCTGGGTCAGGCCCCAAACCTACTCCTTGAGGAAGACCTAGGACAGGGCATGGGAGCAGAAGAGGGCACTTAGCTTCAGGAAGGATGAGGCTCCAGGCCCCTGAGTGTCCTCAGCTTTGCTCTCCCTTCCCATCTGCCTCAAGGGAAGCAGGGACCAACGGAAGTTCAGCCATGGACCCAGGGAATAATGGAGGACAGGCCTGCTATCCGTATTGAGCAGCCACATATTAGAAAACTGACCCCAGCCAGCTGGCCAGGCAAAGGCCTCTGGCAGGGAGGGTGCAAGGAGCTCAGACTCTCAGGTCCTGCCCCTCTCTCATGGGAACAACCAAGAAACTGAGAAAATGACTGGACAGCCTGGATGCACAGTATTTTAAGCACTACAGATATAACAGTCATGGCCAGCCTTGACCTTAGTGAATCTCCAACGGGCTGTGTGAATAATAGGGCCTCCTCTCGGCATGGGATGGATCCTTCTTGGACTAAGGGGGGCCTTTTGGAGAAATAATGAGTCTTATTAGAGAAATAAGGTGTCTTGTTGGGCAGTAGGACTTGTAGAACAGCATATCAGTCTAAAAAAATGCTCAATTAGAAAGCCAGTACATCCTGGCAAGGTTCAAGACCAGAGTACTATAGAGAGATGTTGAACTACAAGGGCCTTTTAAAGGAATGATAAGGCTCTGGCTGGAATAATGGTACATCCTGTTGGAATAAGAGGCCATTCTGCTGTAACAACAGGATCCTACTGGAGTAACAAGGAGTCTTGATGGAGCAGCCGGACACGCTATTTGGCATAATAGTCAGCGTATCCTGTGAGAGAACTGAGGCCTGTACTTGGTGTAACAAGGAGTCTTTTTAGAGGGGCCGGGTGTCCTGTAACTTTCTGCTGAAGGTGGCCCCCACACCTCAGGTATCTCCATACCTCTAGCATGCAGCTCTGAGCTGGGCCCAGAGCAGCAGCAGTGACAGAGAATGGCAGAAGAGCCTGGAAGTCCCTGGTGGGGCTGGTACCCAACTGGCTTGATGGAAGCCCAGGGTGGCCATAGGGTAGCTGGACTGGAGTGAAGGACCTAATCATGGGATGGGGGGTGATAGATCTTACCTGTGGCCTCCCGCAGTGCCAGGGTCTCGTAGCCATCCATCCACTGGTAGGCAGGGAAATGGTAGATGCGGCCGTTGGGGGCACAGATCTGCACGTAGTTGCAGTACCAGGAGTTCTTGGGGAAGAAGGAGTAGCGCTCTTTGTGCAGGTGGATGATGATCAGCTCGCCCAGGTCCTGCTGGCACTGCACAGTGTACTCATCCACCTGGAGAGGACACAGGGATGGCTGAGTGGGCAGGACTTACTCTGGCTCCACAGGCCTCCCCTGCTGTGGCCCCTGTCTCTGCTCATTTTGGGAGATGCTCAAATCCTGGGACTGACAGAATGGTGGACTGTCACCCTGTTTGTTGAGCCCCTTTCTGACCTGTCAAATTTGGTTGGCCCCTGCTGCCCCCATCTATCCTCCTTCTCTCCATCCCCAGCTCTTGAGGTCCTGTCTTCTCCTGTTCTCCCCAGTCGTCTGAGGGTACAGGAACTATGCGGAACTCCCCCAAGGCTGGAGCACAAAGTGGAGCCCTGGCTTCCCAAGCATGAAGTAGGGAGCAGTGGCCCAGCCATCCCCGCTTCCCATTTATCAGTGAAGATATGGAGATTCAGAAATGGCCACGTAGAAGGAGGAGTGCCCTATTATGATCACGTAGCAGCAGGTGGCTGGGCCTGACTCAAAATCAGGTCTGAGGGCTCAGGGGCCACAAAGGGTGCTTTCCACTGAACGGCCTGGTCTGATGCCATTTTAAGTCACAGAGAATCCAGTGCAAATGTAAGCCAGCCAAGGAAGAGTGAGTTAAGAATGAGAGAGAGGGATGAGAGAGAAGGGGAGAAAAACGATGGAAAGTCAGGAGAATAAAGGGGAGGTAAAGTAGGGAGACAGGGCTGAGAGAAGAGGGGTATGGGATGAGAGATGAGAGAGGAAGAGAGGGCTTCAGAAGAGGGAGAGAGAAGAGTTAGAGAAAAGGGAAGGAGAGAGATGGGGAATGGCTGAAAGGGAGAAGCTGGGAGCCAGGTCTGGGGTGAAGCATCCAGAGCCACCATGGGAACCCACTGCCTTCAGAGCTGTCCCTCACTCTCCAGCCCCCACTGGCCAAGTTCATCTCATCTAGCTTCCTGCACACACATACCTCCTTCCCTCCCTGTGCCGCATGTGTGCACACACATACTCACCGCCCCAGTCGCAAAGTCTCTCCCAAAGTGGTTCAGCCGCTGCTTGTGGCTCTCTCCTTGGGTCCCCACAATGATCAGCGAGATGGAGTCCCTTGTTCCTGATAAGAGGTCAGTGCCTGTGGCCACCCTGACTTTGTAGGTGGCCATGGCTGCTCTTCAGGAGGCAAGAGGGGCACTCAATCCTGGACACCTGGCAAGGGGTCTCAAGGTGGGGAGTGTCCAAGGCAGGCCAGGGAAGCCAGGTGGGTACAAAGTCCAAGGGCCAGCCTCTGAGGTGGAGTAGTGAGGCGGGACGACTGGACCCGCCAGCCGCCCAGAGCCTGGAGAAGCTGCTGCCCTTGGCAGTCGGGGTGTGGGATGCCAGCTTAGCAGGCCCGGGCGGGGCAGGCAGTGGTGGATGAGCAGGCGTCTGGGCTCCAAGCCCTCTGGGAGCTGGGGGCAGGAACAGCAGGCAGGGCACTGGGCCTGCCTCTGAGAGGGCGGGATGGAAGATGCCTACTATGAAGGAGCCTTCAGGGTGGGGGAGCCAGTCCAGCCTGAGCCAGGGCCCCAGGGAAGTTGGGGGAGGGGGCAGGGCGGGCTCCCAGATCTTTATCAGCCTAATAAGCTCCTTCCTCCTGCTGGTGCCTATTGGCTACAGTGCCTGGTACCCCTGCTAAGCAGGGCCATGGGCATTGGGTGACATACACTGCTTCTGGGGCCCCTGGAGGGTGGGGGCTGGGAGAGGAGAGCAGCACTACCCTGCTATCTGGCTGGCAGTTCCTCTCTGGGAAATGGAACAAGTAGTGGCTGCAGCAGAAAGCCTGGCCCATCTTTCTGCCCCAGCCCCCAGAGTCCACAACAGGAAAGGTGGTGGGTGCTGAAGTCAGGGCTCAGAGCCCATGTGGGTGCAGAGAGACATAAAGATGCCACAGGGAGGGATGGTGGGGTGCAGAGTAGTTATCTCTTGCTTCCTGCAGGGCCGGGATCAGCTGAAGGTGGACTGATTGGAGTTAAATACAAAATTAGAAGGTAGAGTGAAATCTGAGGCATAAGAAATAAGCTAAAGAATGGATAATTTGTGGTATAATTGTAAAATAGAATTCTACCCTGGAATAACAATAATTAAAAAGAGAACAAACTACAACCTGGATGAATCTCACAAAGATCATATGGAGTGAAAAATGTCAGACATTAAAGACATGCACTATTATTCCATTGACAGGAAGCCCCAGAACAGGCAAAACTAAGCAATTCTTACACAAGTCTGATCAGTGAGCACTTCTGGGATGGAGGAGCCATTTAGGCAGCTGGGTCTGTTCTATACTTTGATCCGGTGGCTTATAGGGCACTTTACACATTTTACTATATCTTATCTATGGTGCACACACTCATCTGAAAAGAAAAAAAAAAAAAAAGAAATTGGAAGAGGGCTAGAAGAAGGGTTGGCCTTTAATGGAATTGGGTTTGTCGGAACCAGGTCATTCCCCTATCCTTCCTTTCCTCCTTTTCTCCCTCCCTCCCTTCCTTCCTTCCACAGATTTTTGAGACAGAGTCTCACTCTGTACACTGGGTAGAGTGCCATGGCATAGCAGCCCACAACAACCTCAAACTCTTGGGCTCAAGCGATTCTCTTGCCTCAGCCTCCCAAGTAGCTGGGACTACAGGTGCCTGCCACCACGCCCAACGCCCAGCTACTTTTTGTTGTTGTTCTATTTTTAGTAGCGAAGGGGAGGGTGGGTCAGGTCTTACTCTTGCTCAGGCTGGTCTCAAACTCCTGAACTCAGGCAACCCACCTGCCTTGGCCTCCCAGAGTGCTAGGATTACAGGTGTGAGCCACCTTGCATGGCCCCCTTCTACATTATTGCGCATGATGCACAGTATTCTAGGCACTACAGATATAAAGAAATAAAACATATAAGGAGCTTGCTGAATAGCTGAGAAAGAAGGACAAGAAACAGTAAAGAATAATTTCTTCACTATAATTTTGAATATTAAGTACTCTGAAGAAAATAAACCTGGGGGTTTATCAAAGCTGGGGGTAGGTTGAGATTGGAGGCTTGCTTCTCATAGAATCATAGAAACCAATCAGTGAGGGATAGGTGGGGTCAGACCCTAGAATAGGGAGGAGAGGTTAAGATTAAAATTAGGGGCAATTGGCCAGGCATGGTGGCTCATGCTATAATCCCAGCACTTTGGGAGGCTGAGGCAAGATTGCTTGAGCCCAGGAGTTCTAAAAGAGCCTGGGAAACATAGCAAGACTCTTGTCTCTACAAAAATAACAATAATTAGGTGGCATGGCAGCAGCACCACCTGAGCCTAGGAATGGGAATGGGTGACGGAGTAAGAAACTTCACCCCCCCCACCCCCCAAAAAAGAAACACCCACTTGGGAGCAATGATGATGATTATATAATTATCTTAGCAGATAGCATTTGGGACCCAGGGAGAGTGAAGCCAGAATCACATTCCTATCCCTTTTTCCTGGACCTGCCCTCTTTCCTTCCACCTTCCCTCCCATGGGCAGCTCCTGCCAACCAGGAAGCACCAGACCTGGTTTCTTTCCTGGTGGCACCCTTCCCTCACCATCAAGGGAAGGTCACACAGTGCCAGGTCAAGTTTAAGCCAAAAGGGACTGGGATTCTGAGATGGAGATAAGGTTGCAGTAGGTTCTGGATTGGATAAGGAATGCAATCGAGACTACACTTTGGGTTTAGTTTAGGGATAGGGATATGGCTGGGGTTAGGGATTGAAATGATCTTTTCAATACCCAGGTTCTGCTCACATCATCCTCTACTCCTTTCTCCCAGCATGATCAGGCCTGGCAGTGGCTCCTCCTTGCCTTTGAGACAGTGACATTATCCCTTCATATGACCCCCATGGCTTGCCTAATTGGCCCGATCTCCCTTTGCTTTCTTCTGTCTGGGACTATGTACCTTTCATTCATTCATCAGCAGACACTGCCTGAGCCCCTACTATATGCCCAGCCCTGTGTCAGGCCCTGAGAGTGCAACATAACCAAAGCAAACCCTTGCACTCATGGAGCTTTGCATTCTAATGGAGGAAACAGACAATATAACCTAATAACCAAATACATTTGTAGGTTAAACAATGGTAAATACTGAAGAGAAAAAAGTAGAGCCGGGAAGGATAATATAAAGTACAGGGAAGCAGGATGAAGTACAGTGGCTCACACTTACAATCCTAGCACTTTGGGAGGCCCAGGTGGGAGGATTGCTTGAGGCCAGGAATTCAAGACCAGCCCGCAAAATAGCAAGACCCTATCTGTACAAAAAATATGAAAAATTAGCCAGGCATAGCAGTGGATACCTGTAGTCCCAGGTACATGACAACCTGAGGCAGGAATCTGAGGTTACAATAAGCTATGATGGTACCACTGTATTCTAGCTTGGTCAAAAGAGAGAGACATTTTCTTAAACAAACAAACAAACAAAAAGCTGGGCTTGGTGGTTCATACCTGTAATCCCAGCCCTCTACGAGGCTGAGGCGGGTGGATTGCCTGAACTCATGAGTTCCAGACCAGCCTGAGCAAGAGCGAGACCTCATCTCTAAATAAGTAGCCGGGTATTGTGGTGGGTGCCTGTAGTCCCAGCTACTTGGGAGGCTAAGGCAAGAGAATCACTTGAGCCCAAGAGTTGGAGGTTGCTGTGAGCCAAGATGCCACAGCACTCTACCAAGCGTGACCAAATGAGACTATCTCAAAAAAAAAAAAAGGCATTTAGAAGCAAATTTTTGATGTAGAGTGGTCAAGAAAGAGCTCCTTGAAAAGGAGATTTTTGAGTAAAGTCCTGAAGGAAGTGAGGTCAACTTCTTCCCACATGAGACCTTTGCATGTGCTATTCCCTCTCCACCTCTTGAACTTGGTTAACACTTCCTATTCCTTCTGAACATAGCTCAATAATTGCTTTTTCTTTTTCTTTCTTTCTTTCTTTTTTTTTTTTCAAGACTGGAGCCTCAAGCTGTCGCCCTGGGTAGAGTACCATGGCATCACAGCTCACAGCAACCTCCAACTCCTGGGCTCAAGCGAGTCTCCTGCCTCAGCCTCCCAAGTAGCTGGGACCACAGGCGCCCGCCACAGGGTCCAGCTATTTTTTGGTTGCAGCCATCATTGTTGTTTGGCGGGCCCGGGGTGGATTCGAACCCGCCACCTTAGGTGTATGTGGCTGGCGCCTTAGCTGCTTGAGCCACAGGCGCTGAGCCAATAATTGCTTTTTCAAGGAAAGCTACATTTAATATAAATGGCTACTATCTATTTTCCCTAAAGATTAGACTGTCCATAATCTGATTTGGTTTTCTCCCTAGTTTCTGCCACAGTACCTGGTATCTGGGAATTCTTGAAACATGGTTGGATGGGTTAGTGATAAGGACAAGGTCAATGATGGGTTTAGAATTAGGGTGAAGAGCTGGGTGTGGTGGCTCATGCTTGTAATCCTAGGACTCTGGGAGGCCAAGGAGGGTGGATTGCTTGAGCTCAGGAGTTTGAGATCAGCCTGAGCAAGAGTGAGAGCCCATCTTTACTAAAAAAAGAAAAACTAGCCACGTGTTGTGGGAGGCACCTGTAGTCCCAGCTACTTGGGAGGCTGAGGCAAGAGGATTGCTCAAGCCCAAGTATTTGAGGTTGCTGTGAGCTATGATGCCAGAGCACTCTACCCAGGAAGACAAGAGTGAGACTCTTATCTTAAAAAAAAAAAAAAAAAAGGAGAAGAAGAATTAGGGTGTAGATTCAGAAAGGAAAGTTGAGTTGGGCTAAGGGTGAGGGGAGGGGCCAGGAGTGATGTAAGAAAGCGGGAGGGGCCAAGGAGATGGGAGGCGGTAAGGGGAGAAGTCTGAGGATGAGGATCATGCTGAGCTTTTGGTGGCGGGGCTGACTGAATCTCCCTCCTGGGCTCTGTCCAACAACCCTGATGACTCTCGGGAGGATACTGAGAGCTGAAGATGAGATGCAAATTCATGCAAACTCTCTCAGCCTTCTCCTTTCCAGTTGCTGCTCCCTTTGGTAGACTAGGTAACAAGCAGGGCATTGTAGTGGGCAAACTGAGGTTAGAGACTTGGGACACTGCACTGTCAGCCCCCTTGGGGATACAGTGTCCTGGGATATTTGGGGTGAGGGGCCCAGCCTTAACCTTTGTAATCTAGTGATAAGATCACTCTGTGTGGTGTTGAGTAGAAGGCCTGGAGGACAGGATGAGAGAGGACTGGAGGGAGGGGGCGGAGGAGGGAGCTGAAGCATAGAAGAGGATGGCTGCAACCACAGTGAGGAGTAGACCTAAAAATAACTCCCCAAGACCAGTGCGGTGGCCCACGCCTATAATCCTAGCACTCTGGGAGGCTGAGGCTGGTGGATTGCCTGAGCTCACAGGTTCAAGACCAGCCTGAGCCAGAGCAAGACCTAATCCCTAAAAACAGCTGGGCAAT